TCAACAACATTCATTACGAACACCCTGTTTTTTAAATTTTTTATTGATTTTTGTCATTCTGAACTCCCGAACACTTAATTCTGAACACCCTGTCTTTTTTCTTATGTCCGGAGATCGTAACGAACATGTGTGAACTGTGAGTCTGCGAGTCTGTCAATCGAGATACATATAGCCCAATCCTTGTTGTATAGAATCTAAGGATTTTCAAGTAAAACATTTGTTTCTTGATTGATTTGTTGTTGTTTTCACAATAACATTTTTCATATTTTGTACCCTACGTTGCCTCTATCTAATACTATGCAAATTCCATCTTATTTGAGCTAGCATTCGATTTTTCAGATTTTCGTCTTTTTCTGCATATCTATCAAACTTTTGGAGTTAATTGTAGAGAGAGTCATCATAGTAAAATTTCTATCTCCCCGAATTTTATCGATAAAATCTTTTTTACAACTTAGGATGTATGATAGATTTGTCTCTACAGAATGACATATAGATACGGTCTCTAACATTATGCTATCAAGAGATATCGTTATTTACTGCAAAAAAAGTGTTCAGTTACAACTACTTATTGAAGAAATCGCCTAAATATGTATTCTCAAAGTTATCAGTTCGAATGCGACACTCGACTACATACGTCCTTCAATACTTTCGATGATCTCAGAAGTCCTTGCGGAGTTATTAATTAAAGCTTTTTGAAAGTTTAATAGAAATCTCTCGAGTCTGAGTAGATTAGATCTTACTGTATCAGAAAGAAAATAAAGCAAACATTTTTCTACAATTGTTACGCTGGCAAACTTCGTGCGTGCGATATCCTGTTCCAACATCATTTCTAAAATATTTTTAAGAAATGGTTTCAGCCAGTTTGTACAGCGTCGTCTAGGCTGTCTAAACCTGTATTATTATTATTTGTTTATCTTATATAAAAGAGCGGGAAACTTTAAGAAATTTTACCATTCAATAGGTTCATATCAATGGTCAGACATTTAAGAAAGAGATAGTAAAAACAATATGATTAAATATATTAGGAAAGAAACTATCAATCTATATTACAAATTTACTGATTTTTGAAACTCATTTTTATTGATATTTCACACAAAAACAGTGAACACCATAGAGTTCGGGCTTTCAATACCTGGAATGGGAAGTGATAAACTTTCAATATTTGCCCCAAAACCTTGTTCTGTAACTAAAACTCAATTATTTTAATTTATTAATCTATTAAGAAATCCTTACTCTATACACTATCTAGCTCTAATCTTTTCCTCGTCTACATAAAATAGGTTGAAAAAAATGTACATTTGGATCAAGTTTGAGAATAATGATGTATCTATCCTTCTAAATTTTCTTCACTGATCAGTTATGTACTAAGTTTACACCTAACTACACATATGTATATAAAGTGAATTATGGAAAAATAATGTGCGTGAGAAGTTGATTTAAACCTTGTATTGTTTAGTGATTTTCGCATTTTATTTTTCAGCTAAAACTACGTTAATTCTCTCACGAAATATCCTATAACAATTAGCCCGAATAATACTTCCACAGACTATTATTCATAACTGTAAGGTATATGCTAGCAAAACAAATATTTATTGGTTTCAAAAGATAATCTCCCATTTTGTATTAATCTGTTCCTTCCATACAATCACACGAAAATCCAATGCCTAACGTTTTCAAACAAAGATTGATCTTCTTTAACGGATGTAAAACACTCGTCTCAGTCTAAGCAGAAATCTGAATCTCAAGCAATATGCTATGACTTAGTAGAAGATCATTCGCTTCTAGACATTTCTTTGCAAAAACGCCGTTACAAAAACATTTATAATAACGCTATTTTTTAGTCGACCTTACTTTTAAACAACCACATTGACACCATTCGAAGTGTGTAACAGGATGGAGTAATTTATTATGTGACTTTGCCGTGCAGGCTTTCATCTAGCAGAACAATTAGAAGAGCAAAAAGTAATGCGGTGATCCTCCGATAATCTCATAAACAGTTTGACTTCTTTGTCCAATAAAAAGATGCCACTGGCATTAGTCGAATGAGACTCTGCGTCGATGATGCGACTTGCATCACAGTATAATCGTTAGAGAATAAACGGTCCTTTAAAAAAACAACATATGAGAATATCGTTCATTGTCAGTAATGCAACACACAATATTGCAACAGTACAATATTGTAGCTACAAAAGAGATATGATCTAATCAATTTTCTTAGCCAATATACTTACCTAAACGAACACAGTCACCACATGCGGCAAAAACTAATGTGTAAGTGACAGAACTTGGCTGCATTTTGACTTTAATCATTTCTTCATATAATTCAATCGTCTTTTCAGGTAATCCATTAGCATTATAGCATTTCATCATCGCACCAAATGAGATAACGTTACGTTTCGATATTTTCGAGAATATTTCTTCCGCCTTTTGTACATCAGCCACTTTCCCGTACATATCAATTAATGTGGTTTGTATAATCAAATTGTCCTTGTTAATAGTGTTATTTTTCATTATATCCATATGAATTGATTCCCCTTTTCCTAAAATTCAAACGTATAATTCAATTCGAAGATTGCTCTTAATTGATCACGATTGGGAATAAGTAAGTACTAAAGAATATCTATCATATTACAATACTGAGTGAGCTCTCTATCTGGAATCTCTCTTTTCCAGCCAATAAACAGTAACAGATCATCTAAAACGGTAAAGCATACTGCTTACGGGGGAACCTTTTCAACTGACATACCCTGATTTTGTGCTAATCTGGCTATTAATATGTAATCAAGAGCTCTGATGATGGTCGTTTACCTTTCCAAGGGTCCTTCTGTAAAACCATTTTCTAGAAATCTTCTGAAACCCTAGTAATGTTTTCCCAATATATTGGGATTGTAGTCCGTAAATTTTCCATCGAAATGAGACACCTTCCAGCTCTCCAAGGCCTTTCTTTTTAAAGTTACAGAATTCACAACAAAAGCCCTATATCAATTTCCGTTGTTCTTTCTGTAGCTTTCAGCTGACAACGAATATGTAGGACTTTTCTTGTGAATTCTGTAACTTTGCAAAGAAAGGCCTTGGAGAGCTGGAAGGTGTCTCATTTCGATGGAAAATTTACGGACTGCAATCCCAATATATTGGAAAAACATTACTATGGTTTCAGAAGATTTCTAAACAAGTGGTTTTTCAGAAGGATGTTGGGCAAGGTCTGTGGGGATAAACCACTATCATATTCGTAATCAGCGTTCTTGATTACATATTAATAGCCAAATTCGAACAAAATCAGGGTGTATCACTTGCAAAGGTTCTTTCGTTAGGGACCCACGAGAAAAACATTAGATGGAAAGTCTTTAGTGGAACTCGATCATAATATCAAAGCAAAGAATTTGAAGGAAGGGCACTCAAGTGTGCTCAAATTAGTAGTAACGATTAGATCCTGCGAAGAAATCGATCTAGACAAGGTATAGAGTGTCTGCAATTTTGGCAGTCACGTGCACCAATCTAGAGCCCAATCATATTTCATTACTATTTCAGCTGACGTATTTAGTTTCAGACAATATAAAGCATTTGTTTAACGATAGAAAAAATTAATAATAGCGTAATTGTAGTACTGAGATCAGAGCAAATGGAAAAGTGAGACGGTAGTCTACAAATACCAAGAACTAGTAAATAAATGATATAATTTGGTATTAGTTTCTTTTTATTAATTCCATCATGAAATAACTTCAATGCTTCTTCATTTTGTTTATTTGTTTTATATCTTTTCAATAACACACCCCATTCTAACACACTATTATTGGTTAATGAAGCTGAATAACGATGACTGTTGATATTTATTACTGCTGCAACGAATAAATATTGAGTTTTTGTTTCCAATACTCCTATTGTTTTTAACAACTGACACTTAAACATCTAGAATTGGAAAGCATCGTTGTTGCGTATCGTCAGTATTTTACGAGTATAACAATGAATGGTAAATTATCGCGCTTTTTAGGGTTGTACTAAACAAATGAGTAGTATGAAGAGCTTCACAAATGTTGAAGTCAGATCATTAGGATTAACTCTACAGGTAATTTCAGTGCATTTGTCAACTGGAGATTTTCTGAAAAGATTAGACTCTAGACGAAACGAACAAAAATAGTCAGTATCTTCTTTAGAAAACAACACCAAATACTAAAATGTAATTTTCGTTATTCATCACTACCAGATGAGTTTATTTTGATTTGAAAAAGTCTAATATTTTCGATACTGTACATTTCATTTTCGTAGAAAAGTTGGCACTTATTCTTTGTATACATGGAGTTTTGTATCGAACATGTCTGCTCCTATTCACAGAAAAATAGCAATGAAATTATAGATAATCCTTTAGCTGGTGTTCTTCTTCAGACAGAGTAGCAGTGAGTAGAAGAACAACAGCAAAAGAAGTACCTGTTAGATAGAAACGACTTTCGTCTGTCAGTATAAAACATCTTTTTGTTGGCAATGTCTAAAACATATGTGAAGGAAGTATGTTAATTATTAATCCTGGCTATCTGCCAGTCTTGATGAAACGTTAAAAGCGGAACCACAGATCGTATGAAATAGTTCTTTCAAGAATGCACCTGTAGAAAACGTGGTGTTCTTACTTTTGGCATCAAAGTGTTTCATTATACCGGCTTTGAGAGAGTCGCAAACAAAACTTGTCAAAATGAAGAACTAGGTGGAAGAAAACAAACTTTTTAAATTCAGAATTAGTGACGTGTAAATACTAGCGAGAAGTAGTACTGCTAGTACGTTCATTGTCTCCTGGCTTCGTACTGATGTTTCTCTAAAAAGGAGGAATAGCAAAATCTTTAAAGGAGGAACGCTAATAAAAAAGGAGAATATAAAATTCTAAGCTAAAGAGGCTAGTTTAATATAGTAGATAAACGCAACAGGAGTTGATTATTTCTTAACACAAAGGCAGTTATCGATAAAGCTCCGTTAGACAATAATATCAAAGTAGAACAGCAGTTTAAACTGTGTAATAGCACTTTCCTACCATGAATCACTTAGTGACTTGTTTGCGTACACTATAAAAACAACACGTCACAAACAAACAAAAAATATATACTTGTTCTATGTATAGGAGTTTGGCCAATATAGACTACTTAACTGTTCAATTAAATAATCTGGAATATGTTTTCATCTACTGTCCTTCAGTCGTTTGTCGTCAGTCTCTGTTTCTTACGAAGAGCTTATCCATCAGAATTCTTCAAATTTTAGCACTATAGTTAACTGATTATAACATACTATTGTGTATATAGAGGACAACTGTTGACCGAGAGAACCCCTCGAGGTGATAAAACGCTTTTTGATCGAAATGTAGCGGGCTGTAGGTTATCGACCATGCTGATTCCGAATATGATCATGAGAGCTGCCTTTAACCGTTCGAAGATCAGGTCTTCTGGAACTAGTTTTTCAGAAAATCTAAAAAATAAGCAAAACCTTTCTCAATGAAGCATGATTGTAGCCCGTAAATTTCTGATTAAAATGAGACATCTTCCAGCTCTACGCGACCTTTCTTTGCAAAGTTATAGAATTTACAAGAGAAGCCCTAAATTAATTTCTTCTTATTTCTCTAACTTTGAGCAATAAACATTTAGGGCTTTTCTTGTAAATTCTATAACTTTGCAAAGAAAGATTGTGTAGAGGTGGGTGATGTCTCATTTTAATCAGAAATGTACGGGCTACAATCATGCTTCATTGAGAAAGGTTTTGGTTATTTGTTAAATTTTCTGAAAAACTAGTTCCAGAAGACCGGATCTTCGAACGGTTAAGGGCAGCTCTCATGATCATATTCGGAATCAGCATGGTCGATAGCCTATAACTCGCTACATTTCCATCAAAAGGCGTTTTATCACCTCGAAAGGTTCCCTCGTCAGCATGTAATGATACGAAGCGTCTATGGACCACAAAAATACTTATAGTGTAATAATGATCCAGATCACATTCTAACATTCACTACAAGAACAGACGATCTAAGTGTGTGTCAAAGATTCTAAAACCAGCCAGTTTTGCCCATTTTTACCAAAAAGGAGGACAAAATTTTATTTAGGAGGAACAGGGAGGAAAGGAGGACGATTACGAAGCCAGCAAATTGTCTCCTATCATTTGCTAGCATTGCTGCTGACCAATTTCGACCAAGTCAAAACACCCGACGAGCAATAGTTACTGAGAGCAAATTAGCATCTTTCTGTTGGTCACGTTTATTGTCTTCTATCTGGTTTATTATTAGACAAAAATTCTTCTACTGGAAGCATAATCTACCAAAAAACAATTCGAAATGTCTCCCTGTCTGAGTATCACTTTCTTCTTGTGTTCTTTCACCGTGATTAGTGGAAAATCAGCCAATAGAAAAGTAGAAACAACGATGTCACTTGTTGACAGGGAAAGAAAATTCATGTCACCACTTAATTAAAGTTCTACAGTTTTTCGAGGTATTAATTGTCGCTAACTCTCGAAAGTCGCCTAACAAATGCATTTTCAGAACGATATTTGATTTATCATAAATAAAAAAAACTACAGCACTCAATCAAATTCGCTCAGATGTATCCTTGCACCCATATGTTTCCACTTCAAAGAGCTTCAGATATTAGAAATAATAAGATTAAGGAGATTTCTGTCAGTCGGTTTTCTTTACCAGTTTGCAGAGGACAGTTTGAAATACATATCGCAAAATTTTCTCCATCCCCAAAAACTGGTTTTTCAAAAAGCAGGATCTTCGAAGCACTGTGGGAAACCCCCATGGTCATATTCAAAATCAGTATGGTTGATCACCTTTAACCCGCTAGATTTCGATCAAAAAGCGATTTATCGCCTCGGGAGTGTTAGGTCCGGTATACGTTGTTGTGTATAAGTAATTTATTACTGAACAAGGTGATCTTTACATAAAATTAGGAGCTATTTATACCTGAGGTTAAACGGAAACGGTGGGTTATAACCCAGAGCTAAAAGAATACATTGACATATCTCTTGGAGAAAAGAAACAGTACAGAACGAAACCAAGAGATATTACTGGGAAATTTCCTGACAGAAAGAAAGAGAACAATACAGATACATATATGACAGGAAGAGAAAATACCCATAGCAGAAGAATAGAGAACGAATATATATATGACTATTATACAATTGTCTCTTATGGCACGTCTTTAATATGTGCCATAACACCTCCCCCTTCCAAAAAAATGAACGTCCGCGTTCATCAGAAAGTCTTACTGAGCAGAGTAAATTGTTAATTAATCAAACGCTGCCACCATCTCGATATGAATAAACAATTCCAGGATTCCCAAATTGTAATTCTTATGAGCTGCCACCATCATAATGTTAATTGTCCAATTTGTGTTAACGATCGAATGATAGAAGAGATAACGATAAGTCGGCCTATATGATTCGTTCATGAACTGGTTTAATATCATTAATATGAACTTGTTTGCGAAGTAGGGTATCTGTATCTTCAACTATATATGTTGGATGTTGTTCTTGAATAATGACGTAGGGTCCAGAATAGCGTTCAGCAAATTTGGATATACGTCCAGGTTTTCTCCATAAGACTAATTCATTTTGTTTATAAACTGGGTCACTCCTGTTTCTATCGTAACGAATTTTCGCCTGTTGTTGTCGGAGCTGAATATTTCGTCGGGCCACTTGTTTGTAAGTTTGCATCAACCGGTTAAGTTGGATCCAGTAATCGTTTGGTGTTGTTATGGTGAATGTGGTTGTTGTTCGATTAAATGGTAATTTTGGCTCTCTGCCATACATCAACTGAAATGGGGAATAACCTGTGGTTGAATGCT